TCTTTTGCACTGAGATAACTGCAACTCAATTTCGTTGTTCAATGTTTGTTTCACTCCTACAATGTCATTAAAGATTCTGATTCTGATTATTTAAGCTTTTTTTTTAACAGATTTTATTTAATATATAGTTGCTGTGACACAAAAATATAAAGAAATATCTTACCCATCCAATATTATAGAATCTTGTTTTTATATGTTATTGTGTAAACATAATTAAAACATAAAAAGAAAATATTTATATAAAAACACTGGTTCATAATAACTTGCTTTCCGTCTGTCCTTAATGTAATGTTTTTTATAGATTATTTTGTATTTAGTGCCTTTCACAAAATCATCATAGTAATTATTCAACTGCAAACCACTGACTGTGTCATTCTTTAGAAATCAAAGCACCAGAAAGCCCTTGAATTCATAATTTTTATAATCTGTTTATTGAATTTGGTTATCATATGGCTGTATAAAATTAACAAAGCTGCTTGATATATTTTGCAAGATACAATTATTACAGAACATTAATAATCAAGGAAAATTAGAATTCAATGTTTTTTTCTTTTGTTCTTCATAGTTTCCTCGGTCACAATTCCATAAGAATATTAAAAAGCTAACACAATTTTTTATTATTTTTTAATCAATCCACACAAGGCTTGGTTTGGGCCAGGTCTGAGTGTGGACTTTGTTGGGGTTTACAGCATCTAAAGTGAGCATTGGAGCGATGGGGTGCGGGGATGCCAGAGATGTCCTTGCAGCCAAGAGTCCCATCCGAACACAGCTGTCTGTGTCTTTCCCCAGGAGAATCCCTGCCATTAAGGCACCTGCAAGACTGGAAACAAAGGGGAGATGAGAGTCTTTTGTTTGAGTGTTTCACCCTCATTTTGTGACTCAGTGAAAGAATGCCAGTGAGATAGGGAGAGAAAGAGGTCATGGAAATTGAAAAGTGGAAAAACTGCAGCAGAAGAAACAAAGGAAATGAAAGTCAAATAAGAACAAGATGTATGAAGTAGGTCAAGCAAATTTTTAGCACCTATCTCCAGCTCCCGACACATTCATTATCTCCTCTGGGGTCACAGCAAGTGCTGGGTAGTGGAGACCACAAAGCTGCCTCTTCTGCAAACAGAAGCAGGAAAAAAGCCATTTTCACCACTACTGTCAGAGCAAATCGTTACAGGCTGGCATGAAGACCATCCTTACCGTCTTCTGTTTTCTTGGCTGCAAGTTGACTGTGCCTTCATCATACTCTCCACACAGCAACATACCATTAGCCCCTAGAGTCACCACCAGGCAGTGAAGATGCTCCAGAAGAGGGCGCGAGAGAGCCACAGCAACACTGAGCGTCTCGTCGAGTGTGCTCGGCAGCACTGCCGCAATACAAAACCACATCCTCAACTTCCGTCAGAGTATTTGCATTTTTGACAAGAGCTCTAACATCAATAGCAGAGGGTGTGAGTTTGTTTTTTGATGGCTTTCGCTGATAAAAGAGGAGTAACATAGTTTACCTTCAGGTGTTTTGACACCCAGTGTTTTATTCATGGTGCACAGCTCTGCCAGGTTTGGAGATGAATAGGACAAAGACTTCCAGGCATCTGAAAGGAAAGGCTTACAAGCCTTTTCTGAGTCGGTCGGTTCATACCAAACTGCGATACGCATGGAAATCTTAGTGTTACAATCAATAAAAGCACATTTTTGAGATTTTTTTAGAATCATGTCTTTCCATTGGTTACCATTTATGTTGCGCTTTTCAGCAAAACAACAAACATAGTTGATGGTTGAGGTGGGAATGTTACCATCGAGACACACGAGTGTGGCTGATGAAAGTTGCGTCTTGAATTGTGACACCTACAAAAAATTATTCAGTGACAGAATATTGAAATGGTAAGTACAGCGTATTTAGCATTTTGTAAAACCAGAGGTTCTTCACAGGGGCTCAGGGAAAACAATAGCAAAATGTAAATCAATCATTTCATAAATTTAATAAATCAGTCAGCAAATTGAGAAAATATACCTGTCCAAAACTTTCCAAAACCCAAATACACTAACCAAGCATTTTATTAGGTACATCTTGCTACGGGGTTGGGCCCACCTGCATTCAGAACTGCCTTAATTCATAAATTCAACAGCTGATGAAGATTTGTTGGCTGTACATAATGAGAAGCTTTTGCTTCTCCACATCACAAAGGTGCTCTATTGGACTGAGAACTGGTGACTGTGGAGGTCATTTGAGTAGAGTGAATTCACTGTCATGTTCAAGAAACCAGTTTGAGATAATTTGAGCTTTGTGACACGGCGTGGCGACCTGCTGGAAGAAGCTGAGAAAA